CAGATTTGTTAAACCTACAGCTAATTGCTAATTGGACCGTAGCATACTGACTACGTCTTTTCATGGTGCTGGAGGTGTAGCTCGTACTTTTCAGTGGGTTCCCCCTTTTAAAGAAATTGACATTTAGCAAAGAACTAGTTGTATTAGTGCTGTGGCTCAGTCATATGAAAAGATTGACACTACTCTTACTCCTGTATTGTCTTTGAACACAGCTTTTTAGCTTAGCTTAGCATTCAGACTGAAAACAAAGGGAAACGATAAGTCTGGCCATGTCTGAAAGGATCAAAATCTATCTATCAGCACCTCTAAAGATCACTTATTGTGACTGTAAGTAAGTGTACGTAATTTGTTTAAGTTCTTAAGACCCAGAAAGGTAGAAACCAAAATGTAATGTTTTATGGGGGGGCTATTGTTCTTTTCAGGGATCTGTTTGCTTGGAAATCAGCAAAAACTTGAACAACAGAATCCCCCTTTATTCAGTTATCATAAAGATTATTCAAACCATTTATAGATTTAGTTACCTTTGGACAGAGCTAGCAGTTCCTCCCTGTGACCAATCTTTACGCTAAGCTAAACTAAGCTAAGCTAAGCTTGTCGCTGCTGTTTTTAGCAACATAAATAACAGACTGAAATATTGGCGTTACCATTGTTATCAAATTTATCCCAGGTACAAAACAAACTTCCCAAATTGTCAAGGAAGTGTTAAAATTGTTGAAATTATGTATCATTAACAAACAGTTGAGTTTGAATATTAGACAGCCTTTAACCAGAACAGTTTGTGAGTTTGCCTGGTTGTTTTGTTGTTTACCTGAATCTGTGTACCATGGCGTGCCTGCCTGCTGTCGGGCAGGAATTCCACAAAGAGCTCGTGAAACAGCAGGAGGTCGGAGGATCCGGGGGAAATGGTCATAAAGAGGTGCCATTAACTGCAGCTTTCAAACCTTAGCCTCATGTTCTCTTGTTCCCGGCACCATTCCCTCCTGTTCTTTAACTATCTCAAGGTGATGCTTTAGTACTGAGCTGACTTCAGGAAAAATCTTCTGAGTGAGCCTGTGAGCCGTTTAAGGACCATTTCTGTCGCAGGCCATGACCTTAATAGTTTCTTTTCAATGTTATTGCATAAGTGTCTGCACAGGGAGAAATGAAATGCCACAATAAGATAAAAGTAGAGTACACTCGTGTCTAGTAGTTATTCTTAGTCTGTAATGAAATATGTTCCCTAATGACGGCAGCAATGAGTGTGCGGTCTTAAAGGTTTTTTTTTATGTTACTGTAGGTGTAGAGACCTTGATTTCTTCTGTTCATCTACATGTCCAGACTCCCACGGCGCTTGTTATGAACAACTGGCATTGTTTGTGAAGGTTGTTCTTTTAAAAGCAGTGCTTTCACTCTGTGTCATAAAGGGGGGGCAGGATTTCCTCTGGACAGCCTGCAGAACCCACCACGCCTCAGCCAAACAAGAGTGCTTTTCTCCCACACGGTTTTCTTTTCTGTTTGGACTCAGATGTATTTTTCATCCAGTATATCCAAAGTGAAAATATACAAAGGTGCAAGCTAGGGCTGGGCAACATCAAGTTTTTTTCAAAGGATATATAGGCTCAGACAGTATCATTTATATCTATATCATCCTTAAAATAACATTATAGATTTATGGATTTGACTTGAAACGGATATTGTTTTAGTTATTTCTTTGCATGAGAACATCTCGAGATATACCGTGTATCGCCATTCAGCTCAAAAATATACAAATTTGATTTCGGTCCATATCACTCATCCCTAGTTATAGCAGACAGATTATGAAATACCTGGTTTTAGGTGCCAGACTGAGCAAGTCACATGCTTGACCTTCTGAGATCCATGCTCACATAGTTGTCTCATGCACACGCCGCCCACCTGCGGAGCCACTGCTCAGCCTTTGTGATGTCGCCCACACAGGCTCGCCTTCTCAGAGAACTGCTGGTTTTGTGGTCAGTGTTTACCACGCCATTAAGTATTTCTCTTTCTCAGGTTAAGCTTTTGATATGTGAAAGAATGTTTGTCCTTGTTTTGTGTGAAGCCTTTAAAGTCTATATTTAGATTAATGTGGGTCTATGTTGAGCTGTCTGACATAGTAGTACAATTTATTTAAAGCTTTCCTCTTCCTCGTCTGTTTCTGACCTCCGTTGGAGTTTTGGTGTCTTTTCTCTTCATCTATCCCCATTTGTGCATATTTGTGCACATGCACCCAGCTGCCCACCTTGATGATGTCATTCACGGTCCTGCCAGCTGTTGTGCATTAATTTGCTGTTCAACAGGTTACAGTCGAATGTCGGATAGAAACTAAACTGTGTGAAGATATTTTGTTTTCTATAATTAAGCACAGCGTTTTTCATGTCAGGCTTTCATGTCTTGACCTGCAGATATTTACACTGAACGTTCAGTCTGAAAACAGGGTTATGTTAAAGAAACACAAAGGAGCTTTCTTTATAGACTCAGGGATGCTTCAGGTGCCCATGTGATAATAAAACAGTTTTAACGCGGTCCAGAAAACTGCAACAGGGTTTGTTTCATTTCAAAGGTGACAGCACAGGAGACAAATGGACACAACTCATGAGAAATATCAAAGTTACAGTTACTTTTCTAATCTTAAAATAAAAAATAAAAACCCCTGCAAAATTCATGTTCAAAATAATTTCCCATACATATTCACCCTTTTGAATTATTATTGCATTTTGTTGGATGTTGCACTTTGTTGCAAATTGAAGGTGAAACCATTTTGCTCTTTTAATCTGCTTGTTGACTCGTCTCTGGATACATTTGTAACGATGCATATGCCTTATTAGTATGAAGAAGTGGGGTTTGTTTTTGACGCAGTGTTGTTATTTCTCTGAGCACAGTGAGCCTTTTGGTGTCCTGTTATTGTTTTATGAAAAGTGTAGCATTGTAGTGAAGGAGTTGATCTTAAATAACAAGAAACACCACTACACTAGGGTTGTCATGATACCAGAATTTTCAACTTTGATATGATACTAAAAGTCAAAGGATATTGATACCAGTTTCATAAAGTCATAGACATCCAATATCGGAAACTACTTTCTTTTCAATGATCAAAAATGACATGAAAACTGCTGCACACTGTTTCATTTGCACAAATAAGAAAGAGTAATGTGACTGCCTACATCAGCTATATATTTCATAAAGTTCAGTAAGCTGGATTTTTGTCTCGGCTTTGACAGCAGCCTTGATGCGTGTGGAGGAGGATGTAGATGACATACAGTATAGAAATGATCCAAAAGAAGGTGGTTCTTAATGGCAAAGAACCTTTAGCAAGCTTTTAAAACAAAAAGGGCAGATTTCTATGTAACAGAAAAGGTCGCCCCTCAGTCGATGCATGTGGACTTTGGATGTACCTGAGCACATCTCTATCAATCTTTTGTGGGTGTGGGATTCTCTTCAGATGGTGTGTGGGGAGTGCCATTTATCTGCATACATTTTTTAAAACAGGTTTTTTTTGTGTGATTAATTTATTGAAATGAATGTGTTTATCTGACAACCCTTTTTTTTTTTAGCTTGTGCGGTTTACACTGCTTTCGATCATTAAAATAACAGGACTGTATCGTATAAAACACCATAACCTGATGATAACCTTACTCTGCACATCAGCCAAGTGTGCACTATTAAGAGCCCTCATGCCTTCACCCCCTCTTATTTTTCAAATGAACACCTTTATCCTCCATAGCGTGCCTTTCTTTTGTCCGAGACCTCTGATCAGCAGAGCTTTGAGTGATCTGTTTGCTGTTCTGCTTACTCAGGTGGAAAGTCCCCTGGAGGACGCGCTCTAATTGAATGGCGTCCCTCCAGAGCTGCTGCACCAACGGAGCATGTTCCTGCTCTGAGTGCTGGCCTTCACACTCTGGCGCTAGCAGAGCTCCTCTCATGACTCAGAGTGAGGCATTAATCCATTAGTGCTCCTCTCTGATGAGGGCTGGATTGGAATACTACAAAGTCAAGTCATGTTGGGTTGTACAGTATGTGCATATAGAGACGTCCGCATATTGAACCAAGACTGCAGATAGAGGACAGGGATCATTCATACTTGCGTATGAAGGCTTAGACATGCATGCATAGAGATACTGAGCCTCAAACACTCCTGAAGATTTGCCTAATTTAATTTCATCTTTTAACAGACTGTGTGTCTGTGTTGCTTGCCATACCTGCGTGGGATGGATGCAGTAATTGGCAGGATTGATTTAGTCTTCATTCTCCGTCCTTCAGTTTGAAGGTGCAAAAAAAAAAATCTTTTCCAACTTAATTGGGCCCACCAGTGGGGAGCGAGCAACTCCGAAGCTCCTCGCCAGCACTCTGAACTGGTGACAAATTAGAAAAACCTCTCTTCTTTTTTGTCCTTTACCTTTTCCTTTTTCACTCTCGTTAAGCTTCTCTTCCCCATCCTTGCAACTTTTCGGGGATTGAAACACCAATTTGTCACCACTTTAGTAGACTTTTGTTTTTTCTTATTTAGTTTTTCCTCATTTTACGCAAACTCTAGGCATATTGGCACTCTTGAAGATGTAGTCCTCAGGGTTGTCACGATACCGGATTCTGAAACTCTGATGAATTCTAGTAAAACTCAAACGATATTGGTACCCGTTTCAATTCCTAGCCAGCAAAAAAACAAAGTCCTAGTCATCCAATAATTTTTAATTCCTTGTTTTTAATTAAGGTACTTAAAATTAAGGCAAATTGTGAAGATCTCTTAACTGCACAAATATGTTGCTCTGTCTTTTTCTCTTTTTTTTTAAAACCTCTGGTGGTCTTTTTTTTTTTTTTTTAAAGCTTTGGTATTATTCAGTACTCTCAATCATGAAAATAATGGAGATTGTAATGTTTAAAACCCTTGAAACATAAGGAGTTCATGAAATTGGGATCCCTGCTCAAATATTGGCTCCTATTTTGGCCAGAACAGATACCGTATACTACAGTATTTTGTGTAGATATCTGACTTTGAGCGTCTCTTTCAGGTGCCCTCACAGTCGGTCTAGTCCGGCAATGCCAGACCATCCACGGACGAGACCGGACCTGTATTCCTCCGCGGCTGCCCCCGGAGTGGGTCACCACACTCTTCTTCATCATCATGGGCATCATCTCCCTCACGGTCACCTGTGGACTGCTGGTGGCGTCGCACTGGCGCAGAGAAGCCACCAAATACGCCCGCTGGATCGCCTTCACAGGCAGTGAGTGAAAAACACGAGGACTGAAATATTTCTCCCTCTTTCCAGCACATCCTTTTCTGTCTCACTGAATCTGTCCTGAAATAACCTTTAGCAAATCATTCTTGCCACATTAGTTTCTTTTTTTTTAAATTTTTTTAACATCATCCCTTTAGGGCAAAATAATAAAAGGATAAGACGGGAGTTTGGATCGGTGTGAAAAATTGGTCTTAGCCCAGTTATGCGCTGCTAATTTAGATGAGTAGATAAAGTGTGACACAAATCCTCCGGGGCTATACACAGGACCTTTTTGTGTGTTTGTGTTTCGTGAGTGACGTGAAAAACCTGTGGGTGTTTTGTGTGTGTGTGCGGTTGGTTGCATAAATTTGCACAAATATGAATGTTGTTTTTGCCCGCTACACGACGACGACTCTTGCTCCCTGAAGCTGATTTGTTGAGTAATTCAGCTCCTTTGGTACGTGAGTGGGCGGCTTATGTTGTAGTGCATTTCTGTGGTGTTGTTGCTGCCTCTTTACCTTGAATATCACATCTCTTTGTTTTTATTTTTAATTCCTGATTTCTGTGCAGATGCACTCCAAGCAGTTTACATCAACTCAGCATCCCTCTCCTGCTCTGTGGCAGGGCTGCTTTCTGGGAGGGCTGCGTGGGAGGGTGGAGTTATGATCGAGAATCAGACAGCCTGAAGCACACGTTTACAGAATGATCTGTGTGATTAGCCGTAAATTAAGCCTACACGGTGCCTTACTTGGTACATTCACCTCCTCCAGATTTTGAACACTGCACTTCCTATGATTAGGTTTTTGTATCTCTTCCTAATCACTTGTGAATACCCTCTGAATCACCACCTTACTGAAACCCGAAGCCCCTCCACAAACTCTGCTGCTAAATTGGAAGGCACCGAGTCATTGTTTAACGAGCTCGCTCAAAGGAAAGTGATGCGGTTCCCGTGGCAACAGTGGGAAATTGTCAGCCTTGTCCCACTGCTAAGCTTCTCTTGGCCATATTAGACATGAGGTATATTATTGGAACATATTTTTATTTTGGTTTTTAATATGATTTCATTCTTGATGATGATTATTGCTTTAAATGAGGTAATAAGGCGATGGAGGAGGGGGCAGCCTTTCAATTCTCGTTTTATAGGTAAGAGGCAGAAGAATGTGAGAAGAGAAAAGATAGCACATCAGTTTGTATAGTTTAAGAAACGGCATTGAATGACACTTTAGTGATCCTGAGATCCTCAAGTATCTCAAGAAGCGGTTTGAAGTAAAGGCCAGGTATTAAAGATTCTACGCGTGAGCTTTTTATTCCTTCGGATGTTTCTGAACTTTCCTTTACGCTCTGATGGCGAAACACCTCTCTGCTTTCAGCCGAGCTGAGGGAGAGGGTGAGAGGTTAAGTGAGGAAACGGGCGGGGGCTTTAGAAGAGACGAGTAAACAAGGCGGGCTGAGTGAATAATCATGTTTGTAGAGGTCAAGAGCAAAAATGTGGATGCCAAAGTAAAGACACAAGTGGTAGTGCCGAAATAAAGTGAAGTTGGTTTGTAGGAAGAGCGGGATGATTCACTCCCGGGGGGGCGGGCAGTCTGTAGCATAACTGGGTTCACCTCACCGGCACCTGAAAGGAAAGCTTTGTATGACCTGCACAGACCCACCTCTGTACACACACACACACACACACACACACACACACACACACACACACACACACACACACACACACACACACACACACACACACACACACACACACACACACACAGAGCTCAGCAGTGCTTCTCTAAGGTATGCTGGTCACCTGTGGGTGTGGATCTAGAGTCGGAATGATCATAAATATAACTGTACCATTAATAGACTGAAACTGAACATAACACAAACATCAACACAATTCTGTTGTGTGTAAAATGTCCGCTCCTTCTCCAGGTAGTGATAACAGCCCCTAAAGACTGTAATGTTGGTACAGAAATAGTCTCTGCTAAAGTGGGACCTTAACAAACATGCACTTGAATTTATTCTAGCAAAAATGTATTCTTCGGTTGCTCCTTAAAGGTTGTAGCAGATCTTTTCTAAGATAAGGTTGTATAAGGTAACTGAGGCCCTCTCACTCACGCACATGTACATTACGAGGCTGCATACCAGAATGAAAATGTTCAGATAAACAAGACTAAACCCTGCATGGCCCCAAAGTGTGAGTGTACAGTAGCTGCTTTTTATAGCCTCTTTTTCCACTCTCAACTATTTTATTGATGTTGCCAATAAGCCAAAAAATACAGATTTGTTTTGATATAAGGAAAAAAAAAACAGATGGATTAGATGTCTTCCTGCACGCTCTACACATGGCTCACCCTTCCTTGAGTCTGACACAGACAATCTTCTGCTTTGTTCAACATATGGGGAAGGGCAACACCTTAAAAGACCTGATCCAGATCTGATTCTTTGGACATTGGTTGATATGTTATAAACTTACCTAAGTGTTTTTCATTCAGTAGATGGCGAGTGGCCTGCTTAAGTTTGGAGAAGCAGGAAGGTCATAGGCTAAAGTGGGACCTTATCAAACATACACTTGAATTTGATAATTTGATTTATTATTTTCGTTGTTTCATCTACAAAAGCCACTAATCATTTTTGCTTTGTTCGGTCACATTTTTGAGTTGCTTGTCTTTTCTGACCAGGAGCCCTAAGTGAGGTAAAATCTTACAATAACCTTAGATAAAAAGAAGCAGCAACTCCTCACATTTGAGAAGCTGAACCAGAGAACATTCGCCCCTTCTTATGAAGAAGACAAACAATTATTTGACTTGGTGAATAGTTGCAGTAATTGATAATATCGACTCGTCGTTGCGGTCCTTTTATGTAAATACAAAGGATATTGCTGAACTGTACAGCAGTTACTTTAAGTTATTAGTCTCCCCAGCAGCAGGTGAGCAGGGCAGCGTATGTCATCAGTTTGGGCACTTAAGAGAAGCAGCGGACCGCGAGCTGCACTTCAATTACCTCACTGGTGAAGCTTGCAGGAATAATGCTGAGGAATGTCTTTCTGCCTCCTTATTAGCTTACCGTTCTCTGCATCCTTTTTTGCAGCCACACACCCCCTCAGAGATAAACAGGAAAATGTGATGTCTGTCATTTTGTCTGCTCATTACTCTGTGTGTGCTTCGTGATGCAGGTTTGCCTGACATTTCATTTATGCTCAGCAGTAGACGCCTGGCTGTGTGAAGTCGGCACAACATGCATCTGACTGTTTACGAACACCTCCCGTTCTGATTGATGTGATAGCCCTCATCTCAGACTGTGCCGGGGTTTTGTCTTTTTACAATAAGTACAGCACGCAGTGCAGGAATCTTATCATACTTATGTCTAAAGTTTAATGAGGATGTTGTGGAAAATGTTGCAAATGAAGGTGGTCATACTAGATGTGTTTTTATATGATTCTGGCATCGAATAGGTTAAAACTGTAAAACTTGGATTGGCCAGGCATTTACTTTGTGACTTAAGCTACAAACAAAGATCTGTTTGTTCTTTTCATCCAGCATCAGCTTCTCACAGAGGATTTTATCCACATCATCCAGCCCTTTGTTAAATATTTAAGCCACAAAATGTCTTTAAATCCCATTACGCTACTACAGACTCCTCAAGCCGCATAAATAACCAAACTATTTAAGGGAACATCAGTACGGTTTTTGAGACCAGAAGAAGGCATCCCTCAGGCGCTGAGCAGCTCTGAAAATATGCAGGTTGGAATGAAAAAGTGGGAGCTAAAAATGGTTTCCCATGCTGTCACCAAGGGGATTAAACACTGTTGAGGTAACTATGATAATTTAACACGGTGTCTGTTAACTCTAAAGAGCACATTTATCCACATGTAATGTCCTACTAAAGACGATCTGAATCAGTCCAGGAAGAAATGCTGGTTGAAAACATCTCACTGTGCTCTTTGAAACGAGTTATTTTGTACATGAAGCTTTTTCCACAGATCCTGCACAGTCATTGATCTGTGCTCGAGTCTCACAGTTTGCTTCAGTGTTAAACATCACTGTGGACCGATACTTTAGTTTGAACATCTTCAAATGATAAAGAAGAGGAAAAGGCCCTCTCATTAGTGACGGCTTACGTCTACTGCTTACACAGTGAATTAAGGTTATGACGTCAGGACACACACTGTGCACAACATCAAAACAAATTCTTACATTATTTGTCCTGCTTGTATAAGAAAATGTAAAAAGGCCAATGAAAAATTGTGTTGAAGGTGAAGTGCATGGTTGAATAGAAACGCCTGTGTCACTGGAGAGAGCCGAGAAAGTTGTGGTTTAAAAGAAATGAACTCGGAGACCTCTGCCGCCTCTTCACTCTTCTTGAGGCTAAGAGCTAAACGCTACATCTGCATCATTTATTAGCCAAACATGCCTGAAGCGTTTGAGAAACTTGACCTATGTAGTAGAGGTCAATTACTTTGTGGGGAGTGATTTGACAAAGAAGAATTCACAAAATAACTGTCCGCTGTATAAGAGTGTTTTCAAACTGTCAAGTGCTAAGTGTGAAAACCTGGCAGTGAGGTTTGAAGTGTCTTGTTTTGCCAATCCAGCAGTCAAACTTATGTCTTTAAGTTTCCTGTTAAAAATGACAAAAAAGGAGATCTATTTTAGTTGTCATTTTTACTTGGAATTTCTTTTTTAACTTTGAATTCCTTGTGAAATAGTCAGTCAAGACTCATTTCCTGCCCATTGTATTATTGGTTGATTGTGAAACCTATTGGAATTAAAAAAAGCATAACCTCAGATTGATGATTTCTTTTTCCAGACATTTGTCACTGCAACCTCCTCTGCTTGAGCTCAACACAGATTAACATGATCAATATGAAAGTACATGCATGCAGATTTAGTTTCAATAAATGCTTCTCCACGAGCCATAAATACGCTCTTTCTTGCGCTTCGTGCTTATTAACACGCTTTAAAGTTTCTCTACAGGCTTAAAGAAGCAGATTAGTTATCAGATTTCAAGCTTTCTATCCAGCTCTATGCAGCTGTGTTTCCTCGCTTCAAGGAAGTCCAATCCTGAAATAGAATTTTCCATCATTACAGACGAGACAAACATTTGGAGATGGGGTGTTGGAGAATGCCATGTTTGCTGATGATGATGTAGTTTCCTATAGCTGCAACTAGATGTTGGATAAGTGCCTGTCCATGATGTAAATGTTCTTTTAGTGAACAGAGTGTGACATATTATTGTGCATCTAAGTTATATTTGAAGATTTAGGTAAAAAGGAAGAGAAAGGTTAAATCCAGTATTTTCTTGTGTGTGTTATATTTTGTCTGGTTTGTATTTTTCTGTCTGAGTGTACAGTAAAGTATAAAGAGTATTTTGGGACCTTATTTGGCAGACGAACCTCGGATTAATAATACAGCTGCAACAATGTTCTGTGCGAGCTAGTGTGTTTTTATTGTGTCTGTGCTCTCTAAAAACGTACTGTGCTCCTTCTGTGTTCACATTCAAACTTACTACTGCCCTCAGCTGGCCCACAGAGGTCAAGGCTGATCAGAAATTGTGGTCATTAGAGGCTGCTAAAAAAAACCAGAAATAATTGAATCTGTTTTCTAGTTATGAGCCTGTTTAAAAACTGTTTTTATTCCCAGAAGTCAAGGTTAGCTTTCTATACAGAATATATACAACTTCAGAGAATGATCTAGTTGTCATGAAATCATCTGTTTGGTATCCCAGATTTCATCTTTAGATGCTGCAGTGTGATAGATGTTTAAGAGTCTCACGGTTTAAAAGTATCCACAATGACTTATGAGACTCCTCATTTGTCTCTTTTCAGATAATGACTTTTCTTTTTTGTGTGAAAATGAGAAACGAGTCTGTCATTTCTGTCGTCTGCAAGAACAAAATGATCAACTGCCAGACGTTGGTTTTGCTGAGACTCTCAGATTATTTCAGCTTTGACTCTGACATTTACATTAGTCACAATAATGTATAAGTTCTGACATTTAATCTTATACTGTGGAAACCTTAAAGTGACATAAATGCCTCTCAAGCTGTTCAGGGTGAACACCATGAGTCTGCTGTGTGTGATTCCTCTTTAATCAAACAAACATGCCTCCTGTTGACAGGTAGCTTTTTGATGCTTTCTGCCGTTTTCGGCAGGTGCAATAAGGAAAAAAGGCCCTGAGGCTGGGAACTTGGCTAGTTGCTCTGTGTTCATATCACCAAAATTTCAAACATGCAAGAAAATCGCCTTACTGGTCGAGAGCAGCTGATCTACCCTGATTGGCCCTCATGGTCACCTGAAAACTGCACGCAACGTGGGCCTGAAAATCGCTCCGATTTCAAAATCAGTTGTATGACTGAACCTTATTTTGCACATTGTATTTTTCACTTGTATCAAAAGAATTAAAATGCGTAGATTAATTTTGTCTTAATTCAAAATGTGTCTCACACATAGGATTCAGATCATCAAAAGCACGAGAGAATAATTGTTAGTGTGCACAGAATGGTAGAATCATGTGTAAATGAGCATTAAACTAAAATGATCTCTCTGGCTCTCTCCTTGCAGTGATCCTGTTCTGCATGGCGGCGCTCATCTTCCCCATAGGCTTCTATATCAACGAGGTGGGAGGCCAGCCGTACAAACTGCCCAACAACACAGTGGTCGGCTCCTCGTACGTGCTGTTCGTCCTCTCCATCTTCTTCACCATAGTGGGACTTCTGTTTGCAGGCAAAGTTTGCCTCCCGGGTTGAGGACATGACAATGCCCCGCCTCTGGACCGACACAGGAGGCTCTGAAAGTTCTATGGGATTTACTAAAAAGAAAAAACACACAATGACTGAAAAATCAAAGACAACTAACTCTGCCCAGAAGGCCAAACAGGGATGTCTTGGATTAAGTGTCATGGGACCGCAGCACCTCGGAGGACCTAACGACTATAAATGATAAAGAACAAACGAGCACTAACGAGGGGGCGTGGGCACAGAGGGGAGGAGGAGTGTGAGAGGGGGCAGCAGATGCCGATGCAGCACCCTGCCTCTGCTGATTTAAAATATGGCCGTTTCTCTGTTGTTGATCTGTTGGAAAAGGGTGCTTTGTGTGCCGCTGTCATGGCAACTGCGGCCACAATGCTGGCACACATTTCTTGAGGACCACTACAGCCACTTCTCAACTAAACCCCACACCCACCCACTCGCTGCCCTCAGCACACATCTGTGCCGTCACAGCCGCTCCTGTCGCTATTTTTGGCTCCTCTTAGCTATTTCAGTTGTGTGTTTTTCTGTTGTTGTACATTTTTGTTTACTTTTTTGTTTTTTTCTTCTTCCTCTGCCCCCTGCCGTAATTTCACTGAAGTAGCTTGAGTGTTACTGAGGTTCACGAACTCGATCCTTGAAGGGGAACTCGGGGAGGGGGGGGGGGTTCTGCCAGCTTGGCTTCAGAGCAGGATTTATTCACACTTGTCACTTCACGAGGCTTCAGGTGTGGGTCTGTCGAGAGCAGCTGTGGGACCAGCTGTCTGGGCTGCTGTGGACCAGAGGAAGGTGCAGCAGGTGTGCTGCATCTTTATCTCCAACCAGGTGCTGCTGGGGAGCAGGTAGCAGCAAGGGGAAGGGGGCCTCCCTGTGCAGCCAAACAGGAGGTACTATAAAGGAGAATGCCACTCAATGTTAGACCTTGCATTATGTTATTTAAAGCAGAAATTAGCGTGTAGACAGCTATTTTACTAAGCTAAAGCCATGACACTGATGCACATCCTTTGCCAATAACTATAAAACTGTGAATCTAGAGAATAATCATCTGAACGTAAACACACCTCTTGTATTTGTAGTAATGCTCTCTAAGTATAACCACAGGCAGAGAGGCCTTTCATGGTATTTTTCAAAGGTATACATCACTGTGGTGTTACATTTCACTCAGTATCTCTAATTATAGCGGACAGTATTACATTTTATACGCAAAAAATAACGTTACCTAAGGTGTGAAAATAACATTTGTGAATGCTGGATATTGGTGGTATTCTCCTTTAATGTTGGGCAGAAAAGCAAAGAGCCAGGAGGAGCAATTTTTGTCTTGTTTTGTAGACACAGTCAAGGCAACCAGGACTGCAGGTCCGGTCCATGCATGGGGCTGTGCCTCAGTGTGCTGCCCGTTTAGGCCGTGATTGTCAAACGCACACTCACACACTTTACCAGCCATCAGACACACACACACACACACACTGTACTGTATAAATCCAGATATTAGGGCTTTGACTTACCATTATTTTCATTGTCATTGCTGTTATTTTAGCTAATATCTTTCTCATTACACTCAGAAAACTTGGTCAATTGGCTTATTTTGAAACAATACTTTTGGCTTACCTTTTTTTCATCTGCCCACAAGTTATTGGTGGTGTCTAAAGTTATGTCAGGCTTGAGGCATGCCTGTGCGCTGTTAGTTTTGAAACTACATCTCCCATGTTTCAGGGATATAAAGGATACTGTTTCCACAGACTTTGAAAGCTCTGTTGGCTGTTCGGACTGTTTTCTAAGAAGTGGTCGTTTCCTCCAGGTCTAAAAAGTGAGGCAGCTGTGGGAGTGCCTTGAACCTGCATTCTGTCTGATGGCCAACATGGCCAACATTTCAATCAGGTATGATAGTAATGTTCTATTTTATATCATCTCAGTGAGAGAATATAGACTATAGAGCAGAAGATGCTGTAAGCTCTGGTTATGCCGTGATTTAAAAGATGCTTTCTCAGCATTTCGTCATTAAGATAGACGTGTAGGAACGACTCTGCACCCTGTTTAGATGTGGTCACTTCTGCTCCAATTAAAACAAAAATCTCCAATGTGTCAAATATGGACTCTTCAAAACAGAAGTCCAGTCCAATTAATAAAGTCAGGATGCTCAAGCACTTCTTATACACAGTCCATGTGTTCTTAATCTGTCGGTTACACCTTTACAACTCTGTCCCAGTTTTGTTTTAATTTATTTATTCACATTTCATAAATTGGAAACATTCAAAGAATCCCAAAATAGCTGCTAGTAGCTCTTATTGCAATTTAGCCACAGAGTTAAAGATGAACAGCTATCACTATTGATGATAAGATACTGATCAAAAACTTCAATATGCATTTATTATCAGGCCAGTACTGTAGTGGAGAAGATAGATCTGAATTAAAAGTCCACACATTTACAGTCATCTCTCAACTTATCAGTGGTCACAAGACCATTTCAGAGCTCAGACATTTATTTTAAGTATCATAGAAAGAATACCTGCTGATTCTTATCTCTTGTGTGTGTGTTTGTGTGTGGAACCAATCACGGAGCTCATCGCTTGAGTCTTAAGAGTTTTGTTTTGTATCTCTCGTTTCCTGCTCGGCTTTTTTTACTCTCTGCCCGATGATGTAAACTGCTACCTTTACACTCTGCAGTGCCCTGTCTTGGTTGGTTTGAGTATTGTGCCATGAGTTGTTTTTGTTTAATAATGTACAGACACAAAAAGGCAGGATCTCTGTATTAGAAAGCACTGTGCATTCAACAGAATAGGTAACAGAACTAGAAGCACCACAAATGTATAAAAAAAGAGAACTTCTTACCTCATTGTTTTTTTGTTTCAGATATTATTTTCTAATGGTGGCAAATGTGTGCCCTCTAATTTGTCTCTTGCCTTGATCGGATGTCTTCACATAAAGCCTATGATCATAGGAAATTATTTATCACTGAATAAAACGAGGAAAAAGTGGGTGTGTGACTCTTAACACCGTCTACATGATTTATTTTAGAGAATATACCTTTTCAGCACCTGAAATAAATAAGGCAATAAAGGAGCTCATAATTTCATGTTCTGAACATTTTTTATCTTAAAATCAACTGTCTTGTTCTTCAGGATGAGGCCTAAACATCTTCAGTGAAATGGTTATATTGTCCCAAAGTGCATCTGTTAAATGTTCGACAGCTTGTGTCAAATAAAAATCCCTCTCTACTTTAATACTGATCAGATATCAAAAACCAAACTTCCTTAAAATATTTATAAACTTTCTTTGGCTTTCTCAACCCATCAGTGACATTAAAATCTATTTCCCTAAATGTCCTTTAATAGAGCTAGTGCTACATGTAGCTATACGTTTTTGAATAATTAGGAAATAAGATAACTCATCACCAGGCGAACATCAAAAATATAAAAAAATGATCTTGAATAGGACAAAACTCTGGAACAGTTGAACAACTTCTCTTAAACTAAAATGGCAGCATGCTGTTGAAAACCAGCTGTATAGTCATGTGGTCAACAGAGTCAATAGGATTTAACACCATGTTCAGCAAATGTTATCGCAACTCATTTAAAATTCTGACGGCATAGTCCGAATCAAAGTGCTGGACCAACTTACAGACCTACATCGCTCTCTTAAACACATGCTGCTAGTATTGTGGGGAAAAAATAAACTCAGGTGTTTGTGAAACATTTTCCTTTGAATTTTCCTTTAATAGCTAATCATTTTATTAATAACTTTCTGTCACTGCCTGTCTTTAATTCACTTCCCCTTGATCTTAGTGGCTGGAAGTAATTTACCCCTACACTGGTTATCTTGGTGTCAATAAAACACTTACAAAGAATAATGATGACACATCTTCTGTGGTTTACCTTTGCAGCAGCCAGCAGCATCTTTTGTAATGTTTAAATTACAGATATTTAGCATTTAATCAGCATTAATATTAGTTTTGTGCAGCTGTACACTGGTAATAGGTGCAAAATTCAATTGTATTATGGGGATGTCAATGTTTGAATCCAATAAAAATGCTACCCTGTACATAATCATATTTATCTTTTTGAGAAAGCAACTCATCCCCCCTTAAAAAAGAATAACAAACAACTCTGGGACAGGAGCAGGATGTCATAGCAAGCTCCAGTACAAAGCTATATGTCCTATCACTTGCTGTGATACAACTTTCTATCATAAACGAATAAAACACTGTGTGTGTGTGTGTGTGTGTGTCATCCTGCACTAAAGAGATGTGCGACTGTATGGAGTCACAGCAGGAGGAGGACCCACAGATGAGGGTGCTAGACTTGATTTAGTTGGACCCTCCTGATCGGCAGCAGATGCTTAATGGTGAGTTATTGGAGGAGAGATCAACAGTGACAGATCCCAGAAAACAGTTCTCACAGTCCAGATGGAGGTGAGACTCTTCTCAGGCCAAAAATGCTCGCTTATAACCTACCAGTCTGCTGAAGAAGTCATTTTTGTGCTCTGCTGTGTCATCAGAATGAAACGTCCTCGGTATCATTTGCCTTATTTTGTGATAAAATAAAACTCGCTTTGTGCAGCGTGCAATAACTTCATAATTAGCTGAGCAAACACGTCATTAAAGTTACATTTCTATGATGGTTTAATTAAGACAATCCTCAGTTTTATGAGGATTTTAACTGCTCAGAAGTAGCTGTGGCTTTGCCGCACTAAGAGATGCATTTTTGCATTATATGGCTTCTTTAAGATTATTTTTATCCCTGTGAAAATGTCACACTTGCTGGCAGCTCAATATGTTAAATGAGACATCACAAGCAATGATCCCTTTTTAATTTTGTTCTGTCATTTAACAAGAGTCTGCCGTCTGCTGAACTGGTGTTTCTGAGTAAATTACAGCGCTGGTGGTTTCACATTTAATTTGCTTTTACTGCACAGAGTCGTGGTGTAGAGAGAGGGAGTGTGTGTAATTTTGTTTCTCACTTGCAGAAAGAATAAAAGATTCATCTTCTGTTTCCACTCACGGCTCTTGGGAACGAATGAATGAAATACTGCTCTGGAGCTGTTAGTTTTGTGCATCATTTGGGATTTACAGCTATTGGTTTTTTTATTTTTTTAAACAGAATCCGCCAAATAAATCTCCCAGTAAAATGTATTTAGCCATTTTCTGTTAGAAATTCTTCTGCTCGCTTCAACCTTAATATAAAACAGACAATAGCGTCTTAAGATCAATACCCTGCAGTGAATCTTAAAGCAGATTTCTGATGCATGACACTCTGCTAATTCTGATAGGGGCCTTAACATGACATAAGCTGTGTAGGCAAAAGTGATAAGATCTTCTAAGATTTTACATGTATCCTTACTTTTATAAGCCTTTGTGGGTTACAATGAGGCGTCCCCCTGCCCGGTGTGATAAATAATTTTGTCAGCATGCTGCCAAGCTCACTTAGATTAAAATATGGCAGCCATCTGTTCAGAAGAGGCTGATCCAGCTCTCTGTCTGTACTCCACAGTAATCTATCTATCTATCTATCTATCTATCTATCTCTCTCTCTCTCTCTCTCTCTCTCTCTCTCTCTCTCTCTCTCTCTCTCTCTCTATCTATCTCTCTCTATCTCTATCTATCTATCTATCTCTTTGTATCTCTCTCTCTCTCTCTCTCTCTCTCTCTCTCTCTCTCTCTATATCTATCTATCTCTCTCTCTCTCGCTCTCTCTCTCTATCTATCTATCTCTCTCTCTCTCTCTATCTATCTATCTCTCTATATCTACCTCTCTATCTATCTATCTATCTATCTATCTCTCTCTCTCTCTCTCTCTCTCTCTCTATCTATCAACATACAATTTTGAAATTGAATGCTTATTTCAGCCTTCGTCACAATTTTTTTTCAAATGTGCCGCTATAAAATGAAAAATCTATCTATCTATCTATCTATCTATCTCTTTGTATCTATCTCTCTCTCTCTATCTCTCTCTCTCTCTCTCTCTCTCTCTCTCTCTATCTCTATCTATCTCTATCTATCTATCTATCTATCTATCTATCTATCTATCTCTTTGTATCTCTCTCTCTCTCTCTCTATCTATCAACATACAATTTTGAAATTGAATGCTTATTTCAGCCTTCGTCACAATTTTTTTTCAAATGTGCCGCTGGTATAAAATGAAAAATGGATATTTAATCTTTTTTTTTTTAAACTATAAAATTCCAGTCTGAAAACAGTCTCTAAAACTCAGACGACCTTGAAATACACTTTTGATAGAGTACACAGAATAGTGAATATTTATTCAGTGAGTACTTTATTGATTCAGAGCTTTTCTTACCACCTGTTGTTATTAAAAACATGAGTCACGCTCTAGACTGTCCTAAATGGCCTGAATGTTATTTTGTTAACAAAAGCTATTTTTTGATCACCCTGATATTGTTCAAGGTATTAAATGTCATATTTTAGCCTTAAGAGTTGCTCTGAATTAGTAGAGATAAAATTACAGAATCAGCTAAAACATATTCTGTTTCAAGGCTCTTAGATTTGTTTTTTCCTGTTATTAATATTATAAAGCTTTTGTATGAAATTTTGCATCATCCGCAGTGGAAAGCGTTAATAATTGACAGGACTCTTTTAAAAGGCAGACTTACTGTAGTTCACTCTGAACAATCACTGTGTGTGTATTCTTTATTACACCTCAAAAAGAACAAATTGCATGTTATGCATGTCACATGTTAGGTAAGTGAAATGACTGAGAGTGTTAGTACGTATTTTCATGGATTCATTCATCTTGATAATTTTGTGATTTTCAAAAAAGAAAATGTATTAAAACAGACTTGTTTTATCTTATGGTTTATACAAGGGTGCACTATATTTACTAATTTGTTGTGTGTGCATGGAACTAATGAAGTTATTGTTAAATGATAAAATGAATAAAAATAGGAAAATAATAAACTCTTAAACAATAGGTAAAATAACTAACCATAAAAAAGTGATAACATAGGTACCACATTTCTAACTTTTAGCAGATTCATCTGTGAATAAAATTGCTCTAAGAGAGTAGATCTAGAGCAGATTAAGTTTTATAATATAGAACTTTATTTGACTTGTTTAGCAGTGTGGACTGATAATCACTATCCCATAGAAGGTAGCTTTGACAAACAGACATTGGACTAAGGTCCATGGTTTTAATAAATAACACTTCAGCATGTGATCTTTTGTGGGATAGAGACTACATGTTATCTGTGTTTAAAGCATGGGATTTCAATGGCTTTGTAACATAAACAAATGATAAGACAGATAAATGGGACCAGTAGATGAACTAACAGATAAACTAATTCTACAGTTTTGTCATAATGCATAACATGTCAGTAAACTAAGACATGTTAAACCCAAACATAGCTGTTAATGCATGACAAGCTGATATTATGACATACTGTATATGACGAGCTGTTTGTATACTCTGCAATGACTGACACAGAGTCAAAGGCAGATACCTTTAATCATAATTTTTCTCCTACAATGGTTTATCTTTTTACTCAGACAGTATTAGAAATCAAAGCCTAGAGGATGGAATGTGTTATTGCATGGTTAGCAATGACAGAATTGTAAATCTTTAGAAAGATTAGGACTTGTTTTAATTGATCAAATATGCTAAGTATTTACTCTGTTTTGTTTCTGAGTGCTCTAAGCAGGTGGTAGATTCCGTTCCACCAGCCGAGACCACTGTGCATTCCTTCCAACCGGGTGACCACTTCCAAGTTTGCAACTCGAAACCAATAGGAAGCAAACTACACTATGAAACACCTACATAAATGCTTCAAGTAATCAGGACTAGTCAAGGTTAAAGGACAACTGCGATACTGTACAGTACATGCATCCAGAGTCTATGTGGCACCACAAACATTAGACACAACAACATCACATAACCACATTCTGAACGTGTTACAGACTGATCTTCATGAACAAACATGTTAGAAAGCTTCTCATTCTTAATCTTACAAAGATATGTAGAGCTATACAACTGTATTTGATT